ATGGGAGCCAATGGCACATTACAAGTGGAGTGCTGTCAAATTATGACGCTGGAAAGCACTCTCTGGTCCTGGGGGGACTAGACTCCAGGGGACTGCGGCGTCCCTGTCAGCTCAGCTCGGCCCAGCCAGGCCTGGGATGCAGCTGAAGGCCGGGCCGGGAGGCCTGTGAGGTCCTGGGAAAACGCAGTGGCCACCACCATCCGCTGACTTAAAGGCGATGGTGCTGGAAAACGTGGGCCTCATTCAGGGCGGAGGCTGCAGAGCCAGGGTGCGGTTTCCTGCAGGAGATGGAATCCTGCCGTGGACGGCAACGTGAACGGCTGCCAAAGTCTCCAAGCTGCTGCCCTGTGGGATTCGGACAAGAGGCTGCAGCAGGAGCCCTCCCCTGAATTCCCAGCCCACCAGCTGCCCTGCAGATGTCAGACCTGCCAGGCCCCCAGGCGGTGAGCCAAGCCTTGAAATAATCTGTCTCTCTCTACATACATACACACATATATGTTTATACACACACATACAAACGCCCTGTTGAGTCTGTTTCTCTGGAGAACCCCACTCCACAGCAGCCTTCTCCCCACAGAGAATACTTTCAGAGGATTCCCCCGACCCCAGGATGTAGCCGCCTCTCCCCTGTGTCGGCTTCACTTTGCAGGTCTCGGCAAGGAGCAACCATGTCCACACTGAACAAGAAGCCCCTGGACCTTCCAAGGGGCTATTGCCCGATCCACGACCACATCCTCCACGGGAAGCCACAGTTCATGTCAATCCTGGCGCCAAGGTCCCAGAATTCACAGCTTCTGGGCTTGGTCCTGCAAGACCATCCCCCGTGAGGGCCGGTGCAGATGGGATACCCAGGCCACCCGCGTTTCTTCCCAGCCAGAGACAGACTCAGGGCTTCCCACGACCTCCTCGGGGGCGAGTTTTCTTCGGATGACACAGAACTCGGGAAAGCACTTCACTCACCACCCCCAGCTCTTACAAAGGACACAGCTCAAGGAGAGCCAAACCGAGGGACACGCAGGGCAGGGTGTGGGGCACGCATCACCTCTGCCCTGGGTGCACCAGGCTCCCTCCACCTCCACGTGTCCACCAACCCGCGAGCTCCCTGAACCTCTCACTTAGTCCCTACGCAGCTTTCAGTACATAGGCACGATTGATTAAATCATTGACCATTGGTGATTAACTCCCGAGAGTTGGGGGGTCTGAAAGGCCCAACCCTCTAATCGTGCCTTGGCCCTTTCTGGCCACCAGCGCCACCCCAAAGCCAGCCAGGGCCCCCACCCACCTCTCAGGACACAAAAGACACTCATCGCCCCAGAGATTCCAAGGGTATCAGGAGCCAGTAACCAGACACGAACTCCAAATACATACATTATTATTAACTCACACACAGATGATACAGAACTTTTTTACCCTCCAATTCTCAGTGCTGAGCTCAGCTGTGATCTATCAGAAGGAATAGGTTAACCCTAAGGGCTAAGCTTGGACTGGTGACTAGAACCTACAACCACAGAGGTTTGTTTTCACCCAACATGAGGAGGACCCCTGGAAGGAGAAGGGCTCCAGATGCAGGCAAGGCAGCGCCTGGGCCTCAAAGTCTGCGAAGAGAAGCTGAAGGAAAACAGGCGTCCGAAGGGCCACACCCGGGCCCCCGAAGCCCTCGGCAGGAGGCAGGTGCGGCCACCGAGGCCACACCACACTTCAGTGAGCGATTCCTCGGAATAAAACACGACGCACCTGCTCTACGTAAAGCTGTTTTAAGATCAGCCCAGGCTGGGACGCATGTGGAGAACACGCAGCCGTGTGCGTGGATCACACGGAGTGAAAGCGCGCTTTGGCTGTGAAATTCAATTACTTCGGATTTAAGCTCCGAAATGCAAGTTCATTAGAAAAGAGACGTATTGTGCCTTCTTTCCGTGGCAGCCCCTCAATTAATCCTCTGGTCACTGAAGAATGAAAACCATCAACCCACAGGCTTCCCTCGCACAGACACCAGAGTCTGAGTGAATAATTACGGTTTTGATTCTGAGTTATGAAACAAACACTCCTCCTTATTAAATAAATTAAAAATAATGGGATCTGTGAAAGATCAATACACAAGAAAGGTGCATTTGCAGTAACAGGCTGCCACCACCGCAAGTGCAATTCTAGACTCAGCCACCAGCCTGGCTGCTGGAACCGGGCCCTGCGAGAACACGGACGACAACACAGATGCACGGATAAATCATCACGCGTCGCATTCCCAGAATAGAAAACAGGCTAAATGCAAGTTCTGTCCTTCCCGCTCTCCTTCCTTCCTGGCCACATCTTAGTTTTCACAAACCAGCTCTTGGGGAAAAGAGGTGAGAGCCAGAGATGTTTCAGCAAAGGTTGTGGGATGTTCATAGACACATCTGGAAAGCAGGGCCCTGGCCTGAGATGTGTGGCAAGGCAGCCTCAGGTGCCGTCCCGTGCAGCCAGGCCTCCTGCATCCGCCTCGGGATGACTCCGTAATGGCGCGGTTCACATCCACGGAAGACACGGAAGACAGGAGGGTCCTACGGAGGGATGAAGCCTGAGTGTTTACACGACACTCAGCTGCGTTTATTCACACCGATCTTTGTGTCCCAGCTCCATCCCCCCCGCCACCCTGTCCTCTCATCCCCCCTCGCTGAGTGTGCACGGAGGCACGGCCCTGGAACTCAGAGGCGCCATCGCCCTGGGCCGTGTCCTCCCACGGCTCTCATGGTCACGGCTCAGCGGCTGCTAGGTGGAAACGGCCTCTCCTTGCAGCCAGGGGCAGCCAGCACCTGGAGCAGCAATGAACTCAACCAAGAACTTATCCCCATGCAGCGAGCAGCACTAAGTTGCAGCCGAACCAACTTGCTTCATGGGAAACAGACATTTGAATGAAGGCATTCAAAGAACACGTGAAGTAGAATCGGCAGCCAGATGGAGTCGTGAGGCAAGACCTGGAAAGCCTCTGAGCCGGAGGCCCTTCTGCCCTAGAACAGTCACAGCAGGCACCCCGACTCCGTCCCTTCTCCAGCCTCGCAGCAGGACCGTGGCGCTGGAGGGCCTCAGCCAAGGAAGGAGGGAACACAGGCATCTGGACACTGAGTGGCCACAATGCTGCTCACTGTGGCACTGGGAGCTGAGCCTGTCCCATGCTGACTGCCGTCCACTGCCCGGCCAGGCTTGCCCCATCCCAGAGGGTGCAGAACCACCAGCCCCTGAGCTCTCGGTGCCCTTCGCGGGAGAGCTGGCCGATGTCTCCCAAGCCTTTTCTTCTTGCCCATCAGCTCCACTCTACAAACGTCCTCTCAAAATGCGAAGCTCAAGGTGCATATGTCATACCCCAAAGAGGTTCTGAAAAACGAAGGGGCAGGAAGGGCAGACGACAACCCATCCCCCGCAGGTGCCACGTCACACGCACTGTGCCCATGTGGCAGGCTCTGTCGGCTGCCAGGGCCCTGCAGGAAAAAGCCCTCCTGAAATGGTGTGAAACCCACTCCCACCTCCTCTAATTCACCACTTCCAAATTCGAGGGGGTGGAAATCATCGTAGCTACAGACCAGACTTTCTTCCCCCCTGCGATGGTTTTAACACAGTGACTGCAGGTTTCATGTTCAGATGTCGAGCTGCAGGAACAAATACTTCTTATTCCTAACACCCTGATCTGGCAGCTGCTGCTCCTTTAAAGATAAAAAGAATCTGCACTAGAGACATTGACTTCCAGTCCCTGGAGGGACCCTCTGGGGCCAATGGTCAAGGAGAAAGGGCCTGTGAGCCCAGGCCATCCCTCTGAGCCTGGAAGCCCAGGCGCCACCCTCCCTCGTCTGAAACTGCGCTGCCTCTCCTGGCCAAGCTGCACCAGGCCTGAAATCCAGGTCCGGGCCCTGGCACCTGGCGACACTCACAAGCCCGTCTCTCCTTCGGACGCTGACGGCGGAGGCCCGTCAGGAGAGGGTCCACGCCCTGGGAAGGGCTCTCAGCCACAGCAGCCTCCCCTAGCTTCTTCTGAAGCTTAAGGTCACCATAAGGAGGATACAAATGTCTCATTTTATGTGAAATGTCCACCCACCCCGCAGGAGGAGAGGCCTTCCCACATTTTCCCACCAGCACCCACGCTGCAGACCCAGGGGACGGGAGACCCAGGCCCGACCTTGAGACCCAGGCCTGACCCCTGCCAGGACAGAGAGCAGCTAGAGTCCCACCCCAGCCCCTCACAGCCCTGCCAGCTGCCCAGGCCGGGCGCAGCCCTGGGGACGGGAGGAGGCAGGAGGTTTCTCCAGTGCCAGGCCCTGGCCAGTACCGGGGGCGGAGGAGGAAGGGAGCTGCACCCCCAGCCAGATGAGGCCCACAAACAGGGCACAACAGTGGGCAACACTGCTCTCGTCAGAATTTAAAAGCAAATGGATTTGTCACCTGGGAAGATGCCCTCAGGAATGAGCACCTCTGAGAGAGGGAGCCCGCCTGAGAGCGGAGACTCCTCCACCAGACCCCAGGGTGGATTCAGAAGGGACCGTGTGCAAGGCAGGGACGAGGAGCTGAGAGTCCTCCATCAGGCCTCCAGGGTGGATTCCGGAGGGACCGTTTACAGGGCAGGGACAATGCAGTACCGGGGGGGGGGGGGGGGGGGGGGGGGGGGGGCGGGGAACGTAGCCACACCCAGGAGAGGGAATTGTGAGGACTGGGCTGCCTTTGGGGATGACCTTTAACCGAGGGACAATGGCCAGGCTGGGGCCTCCGTGCGGAGGGAACAAGGGCAGACCTCCCCTCTCCCTCCCTTCATCTCCTGTCCGTCCTCAGGGTGGGGGCTCTGATGTGGCCGTGCAGGTCAACCTCCCTGAGGAGGAGAGGGGCTGGTCCTGGGACCATCCCAGCACTGGACACACAGTGTGGACACAAGGGAAGCCTCCTGGGCGCTGTGGATGTCCCACAAAACGGGTCCACTCATGAGACCGTGGCTGAGTGGCAGGCCTGGGGCAACCCCAGGTGTTCTGTGGAGAGGGCATCACATGAGGAGAGGGCGACGGGGGTCTGTTGCATACCCAGCATCCTCTGGGGAACCATCCTGGCACGCAGCAGGGCCTCACAGGACAGCTGCTTCTCTTGACCAGCAAGAGACCCACGTGGGAGCCTAGCCCCAGCAGCCAGTGAGGGCGGCAGAGCATGTGGGTGCAGCCCTGTCCTTGTGTCCGGGGAGGGGGTCAACTCACCAGGGACTGACCACATCAAGGCGCTACAGAAACACTGTAGATCAATGTGCCTCACCAACTGCGAAGACACAAAGCCGGGCCCCGGTCCAGGCAGCAGCCAAGGGGCAGGGTCCTTGGAAGCCAAGCCTGAGTCTCGCCAGGACCCCACAGGCTTCCCGGTATCCCCTGCGGATAGGGCCATCCTGCCCTGGTTATCTGTCCATATCCCAAACCCTCCTCGGACCTCAGGTATGTCTCACCCCAGGCAGCCCCTGTGGGTAGAATTTAAGAAATAACTTCCTTCCATTAAGGAAGAAGAACAGGGTGATGAGAACGGGCTGATGAGAACTCCTTGGGCATTCCTGTCAACCTGTGTCTAGAACTACTGGTCCCTCTAGGGAGGCTGAAAATAGCAAGTCCACAGAGAGAAAGTGCTGCGTAGGCCCAGCTGCCCAGGCCCCCGCGTCTGCTGCAGAGAAGCAAGGGGAGTCCTTTCCAGGGGCCTCTGCCCCTCAGGTGGCCCTGGTCTTACTCGACGTTGGCTGGAAAGGAGATCGAGCAGGAAGAAAACGGGAGCTGGAAACCATCCCATCCTGGTCACGGCACCTTCGATGCACCCTCCTTACCCCACGGCGTCTTTAAAAAAAGCCAAAACCTGGGTTTGAAAAACCCTGATCACAGCGTCTCTGACGCACCCTCCTCAGCCCACAGCATCTTTTAAAAAGCCAAAACCTGGGTTTGAAAATCCTGCAAACATCCAAGAAACTCAAACGCTGCGTGATAAATTTAGAAAGGTCAAGTGTACTTAACACGCTCTGCCACGAACACTGAAAGAAAATTAAAGTTCAGCCTGGTTTCCTCAAACATCATCACCGGGGGCATGTCGGAGGGACTTGGCTCCGGAGACGCCTTGCAGGCCCACCCCGGGCGACTTCAGCCTCCACCTAAACGACGCCGCAATGGTTCCCAGTACAAAAGAGGACACGCCGAGCCTGACGGGGGACGGAGGCGTTTCCCTCAGACAACATAAAGGTCTCCTGCCCGGCACCTGCCGCAGACCAGCCTCGGCTCTGGGTTTCTCCCTTCGGTGAATTTGCACCTTTTCAAGTGGAAGTCATCTTTCAGTGTCATCTTCATCAAAGTTCCTTGTTGTTCACAGCTGAGTGGGTGATTCTTCCCAACAGTGTGACGACTCTAATGCTGTTCATTGTAATCTAATCACCTAATACTTGTGAGGAAGGAATTATGATGTGATTGCCACACACTTCAAGGAAGCCCACACCGTCCTCGTGATGGAACATCACCCAGGGGCTTCTCAAAGGTGGTGAGCAGCCTGGGTTCAACGTGTATCACTTTCCATCACCTCCCTCCCCAGCCAAGGTCCCATCCCCTAACACACAATCAAACCCAAACCCCAAGGGCACCACAGCTCCGGCATTCCCACCCTCCATCTCTCACCCCTCAAACTCTGCCATCAGCCCATCCACTGGCATCCTGGGTAACAACGCCCCACCCCCATGGACACGTGGACCCCCTCTGTCCCCCACAGACGCCTGGCCCCCCTCTGTTCCTCACAGACGCCTGGCCCTCCTCTGTCCCCCACAGACACCTCAACCCCTCTGTCCCCCACAGATGCCTGGACCTCCTCTGTCTCCCACGGACAACTGGACCCCCTCTGTCCCCTACAGACGCCTGGCCCCCCTCTGTTCCTCACAGACACCTCAACCCCTCTGTCCCCCACAGATGCCTGGACCTCCTCTGTTCCTCACAGACGCCTCAACCCCTCTGTCCCCCACAGATGCCTGGACCTCCTGTCTCCCACAGACAACTGGATCCCCTCTGTCCCCTGTGGATGCCTGGTCCCCCTCTATCCCCCACAGATGCCTGGCTCCCTCTGTTCCCTATGGACAACTGGCCCCACTCTGTCCCCCATAGACGCCTGGCTCCCCTCTGGCTCCCTCACCAAGGAGAAGGTATAATTTTTCTTGGCACAAAAATCCATGGCCGCTTTCAGGGCCACAGGGAGGGCACTGGAGGCCAAGGAAGTGTGAGAGGCACAGGTGTGTGCAGGGAACGCCCGTGGAACTGCTGTCCCAGCCTGCAACGGAGATGCTGCTGCCTCACCAGGAGTGACCCAGGTTGGCAGGTCGGGATGAGCCCCCGTGGCTGCCCAAGCCTACCTTGTTGGAAGGGAGCAGCCCCAGTCCCTGAGCACCCTCTTCAGAGCTCTGGGTGGTCTCTAAGTCCTGGCTGCTCGTCCATGCCCCCAGGGTGCAGAAAGTGTCAAGGCACAAAACTCACTCAGTGAGGAGGGGAGCAGCTTTTTACTGCTGGGGGCCTAAGAAAGGAAGATGAGTGAGCGTCAAAGCTTCCAGCATTCAGGACGGGGCGACGAGGACTGTAGGCAACTCACAAAACACAGAGGGTGTGCGGGCAGGGGCAGCCCCTCCACCGGACTCAGTGTTGGAGACCCGACGCCCTCACCTCCTAAACAGCCCTGACCACAGGCATTGACCGTGTGCCCGAAAGAGACCGAATCGTCACAGGGACAGTGGGACAGCGGCCAGGCTGTGCAGGAGCCACATCTCTGCAACGAGTCAGCCAGAGAAAGCCGGGGGGCACCCCAGCCAGCACTCAGGAGGCCCTGCCCCTCCACAGGACACCTGGGCCAGCCAGCCCTTTCTGCTGTAAGGCTTCGGCTCCTCTACCTGCCCGAGTCTTTGCCAAGCACAAGGGACAGCGACTGACCGCTCGTTACCGCTCGTTCCCGCCAGCTCTGAGTAAGCAGCTGCGTTTTCGCCTAGGTGGTCTCCAGGGTTCACCCACCTTCCGGGAGCCTCGGGAGTCTGGGGCTGAGGGGCTGCACTACCACAGCATGGCCGCTAGATGGCACGCAGGTGCGGCCTCGGCCTGAATCCCCCGTGCGGGCACCTGCGCCCCGGGCTGTCCCCGCACAAGTGAGGGGTGCGGGGTGAGGGGTGCGGGGTGAGGGGTGAGGGGCGAGGCGCGAGGGGTGAGGGGCGAGGCGCGAGGGGTAAGGGGCGAGGGGCGAGGACTCCCGGCTTGCACAGCCTTGGATCCCACCAGCCCCGAATTCGGGCAGAGCACCATGGAGAGCCCAGCCTGGAGGGGGAGCTCGGAGCCTGCAGCAGGTGAGGTCGGGCTACGGACTTCCCTCTGCCCCCTGGTCAAGGAGACGGGAGTGGGGCCTCATCCCAGTCCCGCCCCGACCCATGGGGCAGAGCAACTGCCCCGGCCCAGGCGCGCACAGCTTCTCAACAGCCACATCGCAGGCTGGCCCTGGCCTCCCCGCCGGAGACCCCAGGCTGCAGAGGCAGCGAAGCCCGGGACACGCACAGGGCAGCGGGCAGCCAGTGCCACTGGGCTGAGGAGGCACTCCCTAACGGGAGGCAGCGCCCAGCCAGGGCTGGTTTTCTCACCGTCATTGTCAAAGGTCTTTTAAGCATTTTCACAAAGAAACCGTTTAAAACAGAATAAAGGTGTAGTGCTGGGGAAATGATTAACGCACTTATCTCTATTTGAAACGTGCAAAACGAACCAAAACAAAAAGTCCTTTAAAGAGACACACAAAAAGGTGACAGCACCGTGAGGTGAAGTCTGTGTGTGTGTGTGTACGTGTGCGCACGTGTGTGCATGAATGTGTCACGTGTGTGCACGCATGTGCATGCATGTGAGTTTTTTCACATGCACGCACATGTGGAGGGAGCAAGCTGCTCCCCTTCTCACTGCCCAGTGAGTTTTGTGCCTTGCCCGCTTCCCATGCTCGAGGGGATGGACAAGCAGCCAGGATGTTAGAGGCCACCTGGGGCTCTGAAGGGGGCGCTCAGGAAACTGGGGCAGCTCCGTTCTCACAGGGTGGGCTTGTGTGTGCTTTGTGCGCAAGCGTGTGTGCGTGCTTGTGCATGCACATGTGTGCGTGTGTGCACATTTGCATGCATGTTTGTGTGTGCACGTGTATGCACTTGTGTGTGCACATGTGTGCGTGTGTGTGTGTGTGCACAC